TGGGCGGGGTTAGCGTCACCGTGCGCCGGCGGCCAAGGCCGTGGCGTCAAAACCCCGCGCCGCGCAGTCCGAGAGAACGCAGAGGGGTGGGGCTGGGAGCCCGAGGTGGGGAGAAGTGGCAGCACAGGGCAGGGTTTGCAGAACGATCCTGAAGGAAAGGGAGGGGTTTTGGAAGGGTGACCAACCGTCCAGATTGAACAGAACTATCATTTCTGTTGCCTTTTACAGCTCACAGGGCATGTTTTTATTTGATCCTCGAACAAGAGCGGTGAGATAGACATTTGGCATCCGTTTCACAAAGAAACTCGGGCCAGAAAAGTTGTGGTTCTCTCAAGGTCACGAAACTGGAAAGGGAAGAAGGTCGAGCCAGTTCTTCTGAAAATACCGGGTTCAGAAAAAAATGGGAAACTGGAGGAGGACAACTAGAAGTAGAAGAGGGTCTGCCTGAATGATAAAGTGGTCTCGAATAGGATAGAACTGTTTTGGCATAGGGAGAAAAGTAAGGATAGCCCGAAACGGGAAGTGCAAAGCATTCTCGGGAAGGATAAAACTGTAACGCCACATTTTGCACCTTCCCCAACACAGTTTCTCAGCTTCTCCCGACCAACTTAGGAGAGTGGCATTTCCAGACTCCAGCCACCCTCTAGTTTACAAGCGGAAAGGAGCGGGTTAATGCGAGGTTGAGTAGAAGGAGAAAAGGGGTGGAGTCACTAGGGTGAATAAGTCCCATGATGATATGTGTGGTCTCCACCGCCGGGGAGGGCGTCACGTGTGGGGAATGATACAACACCCAAGCCTAGGGCGGGCTGAGTCAAGAATCGCTTCCTAGTGTTCTCATCGAGCATCCGCAACTAGGGCGGAAGACACTCCCAAAAGCCCCTTCTCTCCGCTGCAGGTGACTCAGGAGTTCTCCAGTCTGACTTAGCTAATAGGGGGAGGGAGAGCAAGACTCAAATAAACACGGTCTTGGTAGAGGAATCGGCCACCTCTCAGCATCTTAATACCGCCAACTCGGTGTTTATACAACGTCAAGTTCTTCCCATCATGCAAGAAAAAGTCCCCTAAAGTCTCCTACTTCTGACGCACCTGGAGACCCACAGAAACTGTGTAGAGGTTGGATGAGAGCCAACCTATCAACTGAGGACTACAGTGTCAGACAAGACTGAATTTGCAGCCTGAGCTGTCTTCCTTTCTCACCTTCACCCTATTTCCACCCTTACACAGTATTGTTTTGCGTGTATGTCTGAATTACAGGAATGCAGACCAGCTGGTAGCTGTGAGCCCCAAATGTCTTTTCTTAACTTCACATTTGAAAACCAGAAAAAGTCTTGCTCTGAATCTTTTTTCCTCTTCCTGAGAGCTGTCCTTCAGTTAATTTACCTATATATGTGCCTCTATTTTCCAGGGAGTGAGAAGAGCAGGGAGACTTAGAGCAAGCCGTTCCTTCGTTTTTACACAATATTGTCCTGCACATCTGAAAATTTAGAAGAAAAATGTCGAATTTCAAGTATAGGATCATACTTAAATCTTTGTAATCAGTATGCATATTCAGATATAAATTCAACATAGAAAAATGTGGATATATATTTATGTCTTAATTTTAAGCCTCTGGTAGCTATCATAGATCACGTTTAATTGTTTAAAATTCAGGGGCTGGCAGTGATGCAGACGTGCTTTGCAAGGCAGACCCTCATGAGAAGATGAACTGTTTTGGTTTGTATCCAGAGAACTCCTTAAGCATGCCAGGCTTGGGTGCTCAAGATCAGGTGCTCAAGATCCAGGCAGGTTGAAACTTACAGTGGATTGTTGTGTCAGGAGGGTTAGCTGGAGGGTTATCTCTCTCTTTATCTTACTCATGGAATAAGTGAATAAATTATATAAATAAAACTCTGCTAAATATGTATCAACTGATGAATGGATAAATAAAATTTGCTACATGCATACAGTGGAATATTATTCAGCAACAAAAGGAAACTATACTCAGTTGGCATCTGGAGACCTGTCTGTGAGAAGAAGAGCAGGTAAGCCCATGATCTAGGACTGACTGAGGCTGGGGGTGGGTCACAGAATGAGGACCCTGTCGAGGGTGCTTGTCTTTCTATAATATCTTTGTCTCTTTCTCCCTTTCTTCCTCATGAAGAAATTTGAAAAAGTACATGCTACGGCATGGATGAAACTTTAAAACATTGTGCTAGGGGGGGAGCAGGTGGCGTGGTGGTTAAAGGTGCTGGACACCCATATGGCAGACTGTAGTTCAAGTCCCAGACCTGGCGACTTGCTTTCTCACTTTCCCTCTCTCTCTCTCACTCTTGCTCTGCTCCTCTCTGGTCAAATTAAAATAAATAAATGCATAAAGTTAAAATAAAATAGTTCTTTTAAAAAAATAAAACAAAGGGGACCAGCGGTTTAGCCTAATGGCTATGTTGCTGGACTCCCATGTAGTCGACTGCGGTTTGTGTCCCAGACCCAGTGGCTTAAAACTCACACCGGGCGCGTGTGCGTGCGTGCCCAAGATCCCGGGAGGAGAATGGAGGAGAAGGGATTGCGGCGTGGCCATCCCCCCTGGGGGGTGATTTCTCGCTTTCTGTCTCTCTCTGTCTGTCTGGCGAGCACACGCGCCCTATAGCAAAAAAAAAAAAAAAAAAAAAACCTCTCCAAAAAAAAAATAGAACAAAGAGAAATAGGAGTGACTGTTAATAGGTATTAGGTTTCTTTTGGGGGGTAATAAAAATGCTTAAAATTTATTATAGTGATGAATAGACAACTTTCAAAACATACCAAAAGGTATTAAGTTTTACATTCTGAATGGGTGACTTGTATGGTATGTTGATTGTTTCTCAATGAAACTATTACAAAAGTAAATGAGACAAAATTTATTGCTATAATAACTTTATAATAAACCCAATGGAAGGACCTAACTCAGTGTGCTAGAATGCAAAGAAAATTATTTTTAAATAGGGAAGCTTGTATTCTAGTATGAACTGGTCATTTTGAACAACTTAGATCAGGAACAAAAAAGCAAATAGTTGTTGTGTACCTATTGGATGCCAGTCACTGTGATAAGGACTGCGAGCCTCAGCTTCATCTGTATAGTTGAGCTTATTAGAAAATCTGTGAAGGCAGGACCAGCAGTTAGCGTAATGGCTATGTCACTGGACTCCCACGTAGTCGACCACGGTTCGAGTCCCAGACCCCGTGGCTTAAACTCACGCCAGGCGTGTGTGCATGTGTGCCCAAGATCCCGAGAGGAGAATGGAGGAGAAGGGATTGTGGCATGACCATCCCCTCCAGGGGGTGATTTCTCACTTTCTATCTTTCGGTCTCTGTCTGTCTGGTGAGCGCACATGCCCTATAGCAAAAATCTCTCAAAAAAAAAAAAAAAGAAAAAAAGGAAAGAAAATCTGTGAAGGGGAGACCAGCAGGTAGCATGGTGGCTGAGGTGCTGGACTCGCACATGGCTGACCGTGGCTTGATTGAGCCCCAGACCTGACAGCTTGCTTTCTCACTTTCCCGCTCTCTCTGGTGAGTTAAAATAATAATAATAATAATAATAATAATACATAAAATTAAATAATCTTTTTAAAAAAAGAAAGAAAATCTGTAAAGGTGGGGCCAGCAGGTGGCGTGGTGGATAAGGGTACTGGATTCCCACGTGGCGGACCACAATTGAAGCACACCTGACAGCTTTCTTTCTCACTTTCCCTTTCCCTCTGTCTCTCTCTGGTCAAAAGTTTAAAAATAAATAAATAAAACACATGGAATTAAATAAATAAATCATTGTTTTTAAAAAGAAAGAAAATCTGTAAAGGCTTCTTGCAATTGTAAACTCCGTGATTCTTCTTTGTAGCTGGGAGTGACAGAAAGAAGATACGGCCTTAAAATTGAGTCCCATTAGTTATGTCCAAATTGCACCAGCAGTAATACCTCCTATACTCAACTGCTAAATAGACTTCCAGCACCCACCTCCAAATTCCAAGGGCTGAGATGATCATTAAAGACAGAGAGTTATTAAGAATAAACAGGTCACATGGTGGACTTTAGGGAGTTTACTTTTGATTCCTAAAGGGAAGGAAATTCCATTTCGAGAGATTCCCTGGCCTTGCAAAAATAGCGAGGATACTACTTAGTGGGGCACCAGCGGGGAGGAGTTGATAGGAGTTGATAAGGGCAGGAAGGGAGGCATTTCTTCCTAAGCACAATAACTATAATCACTAGAAGGCTGAAATTATCCGTCCTGTTTGTCCAGGCTTCCGCAACTTTTACAGTTATTTCTGTCTGAATCAATTTCTCTGATTCCAAAAACTTCATTTTCCCACCTGGGGAGAGACAGTCACTGAAAGAGAAAAAGAAGAGAGGGCTCCAGGGCACAAGGCTCTGTGGTGATGGCAGAGTGAAATGATGAGCAATTCACCACTCCACGCAAACTAGACCACTCTCGGTGCGGCAGTCTAGCTACAGAATTTCACACTCTTAAAAAAGTGCCAGGGTTTTTGGGGTATTTTCAGTCGGTGTTTCCTTTGAAGCCTTTTATTTATTTACTTATTTATTTGAGTTGCTTTCTTTCAAAAGAGAGAGACAGTCACCTTTTTTGTTTTAATATTTTTGTCATAGGGCGTGTGTGCTGAGTTGAGGAGGCGCAGTGAGACATCGCTCGCCCCCCCCACTGCCGCAGTTCCC